TGAATTGTTGAGTTGTGAGTTGATTTCATGGTAAAATGGTACATGCATGTCCATAACTTTGTAATGGTCCATGTTTTCAACTTGTTTTTGGATCAATTGGCTCCTTAGAGCATCAAATTGAACTTTGAAGTTTTTAAAATTCATGCATGTTTGCATGTTCTCCATGTTCATGAAAATGGTTTGAAATTGGATTTGAATTAAACACCCTTGGGCTTTGATTTCTTAAAATTGAGCTTTGAACCATGTCATTCTATATGTTTACGAGTGCTTTCTGGAAATTCAGCCCAAGAGGATCGATTTTGATGCTTTTGAACTTGGTTTTTGGCTTGGAGGTGCAATCTGGAATTCCCAGATTTTGCACTTCCGCTCGAGCGGGGAAAGTGGCGCTCGAGCGTGGAATCCGAGCATCCAGTATTTCTCTGCACTGTTTTACAGTCCGCTCGAGCGGAGGATTGGGCGCTCGAGCGGAGGATTATGTCTCAAGCTCGAGCGGGAGTCGAGCGGAGATTTCACCCATCTAGTACTTTTACAGTACGCTCGAGCGTAAAAGTTGACGCTCAAGCGTGTACCTTTGTTGCATGACCGCTCGAGCGGGGAAACCTGCGCTCGAGCGGGACTCTGTTTTTCTGAATATTCTGAGATTGCTTTTTGAGTACATCTTTGCATCCTCATCACATCCTAAGCATGCTTAGGCCTAGTTTAAGGCATCTTACTGAGGATATAGATGTAGAACATACCGAGGCAAATTATGGGTTAAGTTATTATCTTTCCCAACTGTGTAGCTTAGTGTGTTCAATCTGTTAACTGTGTAGGGTTGGCGACTGGGGAGGCACGCTCTAGCATACTGCAGCCCAGAACTCTGTGAGCAACAATTGTGTAAAGATATGTTCACAAATGATTATCTTCTGAACAACTGAACTGTACCGTTTTCTGAACTGATTACTGTTAACTGAATGAATGTATGTCCTATATTCTGAACTGTATTGTGGCATCCTTAGCACCTACTATTTACTGTTACTGAGACAGAATTCTCTGTCGGTTCCCTTGTTGGAACCACTACTGTTACTGACTGATGGCCATCACTACTGTTCGGTCTTTTAAGACCTACTGTTTACTGTACTGTTATGCTAATGGATGTACCACATATGACTGTACTGACTGAACGACTGAAATACTGTTTAAATGAACTGTTTTCATACTGTAAGGACATTCATTCTTAACCTCTTTACGCATTATGTTATTCACTGGGCTTTAGCTCACTGCTCATATATATATGTAGGTGTACAAGCACCAGACCGCGGCTAGAGGCGTCAGGGTTACTCCAGTTTTGTCAAGCCAGCCTATGTGCCTCACTGCAAGGTTCCGAGCCTATCATGTTAAGGCTTAGGGGCGTTTTACAATTCCCCCTTCTGTACCGTCTTACTGTTCTGTATAGACTAAATGTTTACTGTACTGTCATGTAAGGGATTGAGTCCCTAGTCTGAATGATTGTAAATATTGTGCATACTGTTCTGTACTGTTTATGTATAAATGTATGGAAAGTCTTTTTGCATACAGACTGTCACAGCTCATTGGGCATTGTTTCTTTACTGTATTGGCTTCCGCCAGGCCCTGTACTCTATTTTACTGTACTACTGTTCTGCAGCCCTTCGGTAATCTCGGATTACTGGCCGGTTACGGTGCTAAACCCATAGGGCCGGGTTTGGGTCGTGACAATTTGTAATTATTTTTGTAAAATTAATAAATAATCAAACTTTTTACCAAAAGTCAAATAATATTTTTTTCCTTGGATAATGCTATCATACACTCTCAAATATATGTTATCATATTTATGAGATTAATTATCATAGATATCATAATGCAATTTTTATATAAATCATAACTAAAATTAAAAAAAAAAAAACAAGTTATAACCAAATATTTTATAAGGAATAACCAAAAAGTTTTTGATTCATAACCAAAATAATGACTTAACTAATACTGCAATTTATCATAACTAACACTCTAATAAATCATAATCAAATATTACAAAAAACGTAACCAACGGATGTGCATTATAGAATCATTATTTTTTTTTCTTAAATTTTATGAAATTGTTAAAAAATGAAAGATTATAAATAAAGGTTTTGTATCCAAACAATATAAATGAAATGTTGTGAGATTTTTTGTAGTCGGAGTGTTTGGGTATATGTTATTTTAGTTATTTTTTTATGAAAAGACGTACAAAAAATAGAGAGAGTGATGTGATTGAGTATTTTGTCTTATTGATTATTTTAACTCCTAACCCAACTTGCCAAATGAGGCTAGGATTAACTGTTCTTAGATCAAGTAAGAGAGCTGCTATCTATCCCTATCATATTTCTTTGGACCCTTTACTTCTTTGAATCCTTACTCACTTAATTGAGTCTCTCTCATTTTCTCTTTGAACACCCACCGTAATCCTAACTATACCCCTTTTATTTGAACCCCCAACTTATAACCTTTTCTCACCGTCGGTCGTTGCCATTTTTTGTTGCCCCGTCGCATCTTTCCTAGCCATTTTCTCTCATTTCCAAAACCACCATCACCGCCATAAACCCCATATTATCCACTACACATTTCTCTGCCTCCGACCTACTTTTTTGACAAACCCCTCACATTCGACATCCTTTACAACTTCTTATCTGACGACAATGCTTCTACTGGAGTCGCCGACAAGTGGGGCGACATCTCCGAGTCAAAAATTGAATAGTCGACGAAGTTGTCTGACGCCCTGCCGTCGTCATCGCCTTTTCACGACTTTGCGCGCACCACCATCACATCTCCAAACCCTAGCGACCCAACCATGCGTAGAGAGAGAGAGAGAGAGAGAGAGAGAGAGAGAGAGATTATAGTGGTGACGGCTAAAACAAGTGCGCGCAAGAGAGAGAGAGAGATGAAAACTTGGGTTTTCAAAAGAAGAAGAAAAAAAGAAGATAAGAGAGAGACGGAGATGGAAGTGCTAGAAGCGGCAGATGGATATGGTAGCCAGAGTTGAGAGGGGCTAGGGTTAGGGTTTGGAAAATTAGGGTTAGAAGATTAAGAATGAGGGTAAAAATGAAATTTTATATCAGGACAAAATTGGAATTAAAAAAAATAGAAAAGGTGGGGGTTATAAAAAGAAGGGTGATTTTATTTACATACTATTATTACCCCCAGTTCACATCATTTACTAAGTTCACACCACACACAAATTGAATATGGGGTAAATTACACTTACACCCCTTGAGGTTTGGGTTTAATACAGTTCACCCCCTGACGTTTGGGAAATTATACTAACCCCCCTGCCATTGTAATTATTTAGACGGAATGAAGACATTGAACTCATACACTTCATCTTTTTTTGCTTTATTTTACTTTTTCATTTTTTCCCCTTTCCTTTACCTTTTTTTTTAATGTAATTTCTTCTGTTTTTCGACTAGAAGTTGTTACCTTTTATATAAGCAAGGGGGTTTGTGAAATGAAATTGTTAACTACAGGGGTGGGAATGTAATTTTCAAAACGTCAAGGGGTGGGTAGTAATTGGACTAAACCTCAAGGGGTGTCAATGTAATTTACCCTTGAATATGTTAATTTTGTCTTAATACACACCAATAATTTTTATATAATACCATATTACCCTCATATTTTTCTTCTTCTTCAACAAACCCCAACCTTAATCATTGTCTACTGTCTATCGTCGACTATTGGCCGCTACTATACTCTCTCATTCCTCAGTGCTTTTACTGAGCTTCCTTTAGTTACTGTCGCTGCCTTACTACCATTGTAGCACCCCCATCGTCCATGCCTCACCGCCATTGCAGTCCCCTATTACCGTGACAAATAATTGCTACAACCCTACCTCGTTGTCGCCTCCAAACACCACATATATCTCTCTCTCCAAACACAAATCTCTCTCTAGGTTGTGCGTGATCAGTCACAGATCGAATGTAAGTTACGATGGTGGTGGGTCGTTAAGGTTCGAAGGTGCAATGTTGGTGGGTTGTCGAAAATGGTGGTTGCAAGGTAGTGAAGATAAGGATGAAGCTGAGAAGACGGCGACAACTGCAGCAATGGAGCTGAAGAAGAGAGAGGACAATGATGCATCGAGGAAGCTGAGGAGAAGGAATGTTGGTGATGATGGTGCTGATGGCTAGTGTTGATGGTGGTGGTGTCGATGTATTGAGGGGATTTAGGGTTTAATTTCATTGAGGGGCACAATGATAATAAAAAAATATAAGATAGCGATGTGAATTGAGAGTAAAAGTGATGTGTAAATAGAATTTTTCTAAGTTTGTGTTTGGTTGCAAGATTTTGAAAGGAATTTGAAAAGAGAAAAAAAAATGTGTATGAAATTAGATAAAAAATATATTTTATTTATATTTCATTTAATTTTTAAAAAAAAATATTTTTAAATTCTCAAATCAAACAAAATGTAAAAAAAAAAAAAAAGTACGTTAAATAACAGCCCAAATCAAGTAAAAGTCAATTTTACTATTATTTTTTTTTATTTTTTATTTTTTTGTTACAGGAAAATCCTCTCCACTCTTCCGCAGGTTCAAGGCAGCGTCCCTTGCAGAGATCATCAATGTGTCCTGTTAGCCGTTCCGAGCAAGGAGACTATAATTTGGGAACTTGCCCCGACCTCCCAAGACATATAATTTGGGAACTTGCCCCGATCTCCCAAGACAAGTTCCGCTTAAATCAAGACTCGCATAGTGGGGGAGCATTGAACCCCAACAGTGCTTCGCCCAGGCGATTGGCCCAAGAGAAGAATTGAACTTGTGACCTTGGGACTTAAACCCCAATGCCTTACCACAATGCTACAACCCCTTGGGTTAAATTTTACTATTATACCCCGCTATTTTTATTTTTTTTTTTTGTTAAAAAAAAAAAAGTACGTTAAATAACAGCCCAAATCAAGTAAAAGTCAATTTTACTATTATACCCCGCTATTTTTATTTATTTTTTAACCTGATGTCTAGGTAAAAAGGGAAGATGGCATGTGGGAGCCCTAATTCCTGAGCCGATTGTCGCATCAAACCTGTGTATCAAGTACGCCGAGAACAGAGAGAGAGAGAGAGAGTAGAGAGCAAAGCTAAGGAGAAAGCGAACGATGGAGGACTACGAAGAAAGGTACGAGGGGAACGGAGAAGATCTCGGCAATTACGGCTCTTCTCCACAGCCTCGAGTCGATGATTACAGCGATTCCAAGTCTCAGGTATTATTATTATTATATATCTGTTTTTTGTTTTGTGTATAGACCAGATCGCCTCATAAGGAAGCAACACGATAATCATTGATTGTCGTTTTAGGGTTTCGATGAATTTAGGGCTTTTTTTTGCTAGACTTGATGAAGATGTCTGAACCATTTGTGTGGAGCCGTGGTTGTGATTGATTTTCGTGATGCTTAATTTGCATTGGACTGCATGGAATCGTAGCCTTGGATTTGGAGCTGGAAATTCCAATTCCAATTCTAACTCTCTGTTTGGGAACCTAGTAGCGAAAACAAAAGAAGAGAATTGTGTTTTCTAGAAGAAAAGAGAATGATTTATCTCGGACGTTGTTTGGTTAAACTACACAGATAAAAAGAAAAGAAATTTTTTCATGAAACTTACTAGAAATTTGAATTTCATAATTTATTGGTCTTAACTTGCAGTAATAATCTAAAACATATATGTATAGCAGTAATAATAATGTTATCTGATTGTGAAATTGGATTTCTTTTACTGAAAAAAAAAAATATATATTTTTGGGGTTACCATTTACAGCACTCTCGAGACTATGAAAGAGGGTCTTCAAAGAGCAGGGAGAAAGGGCGTGATAAGGAAAGGGACAGGGATAGGGACAAGGGCAGGGAGAGAGATAGAGATAGGGAAAGGGATCGGGAGAAGAGTCGAGACAAAGATCGTGATCGTCACCATCGAGACCAAGATCGAGACCGCCACAGGGCACGGAGTGAGAGACGGGAAAGGGGCAGAGATAGAGATGGTGATGACCATCACAGGAGTCGAGACTATGAGAGGTAATGGAAGTTAATTGCTGTTTATGCAGGTTTATATTCTTTAACACCCATTTTGTTTCCAAGCGTATATTTTAGGCCCACTATTATCTATGGTTGCAATCAGGGATTATGTTAATCTCTTTAAGTTTATATATATGTATATTCTGCAGATAAGGATTTTTTTTTTTAACAATGTGACTTGAGTGTTTCTCATAGTTGAAAGGCTAAGAGTAGACTTGTACCTATTACGTATTACCTAGCCAATACTTCATGCCATCTTCACCAACTTAGTTGTAGACATTTTGTTCTTTTGTGCTGCTTATGAGATATTGTTCTGATTTATTTTGTAGGCATAAAGATTATGACGGGGACAGAGAGGACAGGTATGGACGATCTCGCTCTAGTGGTATAGCAGAGCATAGATCGAGATCTCGTTCACGTTCAAAAAGGTTAGTTGTAGCAATTGTTAAATCAATTTGTTATGGGTGTCTCTTGTGGTTTTAAATTGAAGATCTGAATTTGTACATTTTGATACATGTCGAATTGCATTGAAATGTTTTTCAGTATGAAGTTTAAACAGCATAATTTCTCAAAATTAAGTAACAGTGACTGTCTGAATGTATGACGGGGCTAATTTGGAATGTGAGAAGTGCAATATTTAGAAAATAAGCTATAACAAGTTAACAACTTTCAGTAAATTTTCTGAAGTTATAAGTTTCATTGCAGAATTTTTTGTTTGCAGTTAATGCCAATACACTTGTGTTGTGAAAAATGTTGTGTTCATGTGGTGTATTTGGCTTAATGATTTATGTGTTCATGTAGTCCTCTCTTGCAGATATGTTTGAAGTAGTGGACTGTATAGATACCAAATTAGTTGTGCAGTGCTGCAACATTGCTTTCTGCATTATGCGATATCATTGTGACAGAGCTTGAAAGAATGATGAACCAAAAAGATATGCTATGTAATGTCTAATACAAGAGGCCTGTTATATTATTTAAGTGTCTCCTTTCTCACTCCTTGCAGGATCTGGACAAAAAGTGTGTTAATTTTAGAATTGACCTTGTTCAGTTTATTGTCATATTAGTTGGAATTTCTTGTCATAAAAATTAAATTTAAACTTGATACATGTATATTGTTTTCGTGTAGAGCTTTATATTAATGGTTTATACTTGCAGCAAAAGGATCAGTGGTTTCGACATGGCACCTCCTGCTTCTGCAATTTTAGCTGGTGCTGCAACTGCTGCAGGTACTCATCTCATCGCATATGATTCGATTGTTGTATTTGCGTAACTGCTGTTTTCTCCTTTTGTTTTTGATATAGTGTGGAAAGTTCGTATCAAATTGCATGCTGTCATTTTGGTAAGGAATACTTGTTTTTTCTTTTATTTGAACATGATTTAGAACCATGGACTGTAGACGTGTATAGCTTTTCTTTTAATTATTTACTTGGTGAAATTATACCGAAACTGAGAGGGTTTTTTTTGGTTGTTTCTTGTGTTTGGTGTTTGTTTGTTGTTTCTATGTCTTATGTTTTGTTGTAAGAAGGCAATGTTGGGCTATTAGCCCCACTGTGCTGACAATGGGCGTGAGCCGACATCTATAGCTTTAATGTACAAGGAGGAATCAATGCACCAGTTTGATGGGTCTTGTTCGTCTTCATCCGGCAACTATTGCCTGTTTTGGTAGTTTGACGAATATTTTCTCCAGTACTTGAATATGATGTATTATTCCTTCCATCTCTTTTGATATATTTTACTGCAAGAGCCTAGGTTTTGATAAAATTATTGAGTTATTTGTATGTGCAGTGATGTGTGTCAGCTACTACTACTTACGATAGAAGAGTAAGAAAGTAAGCAACTTACAGTTATTTATGGGATGTAATTCTGTTAGCCTTTGCAGGTCAGATCCCTGGGACCACCCCAGCTATTCCTGGAATGTTTCCAAACATGTTTCCATTAGCGTCTGGCCAAGTAATTCATGCTACCATTGATCTCTTCTTGTTATTATTCTCCCCTGTAGAATGCTTTTATTAATTCTCTTTATTTTTTGTCCCTTTTTTATTGCCCCTCCTTGTAGCAGTTTGCAGCTCTTCCTGTTATGCCAGTCCAGGCAATGACACAGCAGGTTGGCAGGATCAAGCTGTTTTGTTTTCGTTAATGCCTATGTTTCTTTATCAAATTTTTATTCTACGTTTGTTTGGCTACTTGTATTTTACTAATAGTATTATGATGGCAGGCTACTAGACATGCTCGGCGTGTGTATGTTGGTGGGCTTCCCCCCTCTGCAAATGAACAGGTTTGTCTCCTTTCGTTTTGCTCCACTGCACTATTTCTCTTCCATTTCTTATGTTGGTTTCTACAGCTTCTGATATTGTGATGTTACTGATGTTTACGAATTTTGGGTGATTCTGCTATGTTTTCCTGTTTTTAACAATCTATATATTTGAGGAACCTCTGTTAGTTCTCTCAATTTCCTGCATTTTTGGATGAAAAAACAGTAAACCAGAAATTAGTGGGTTTCTTTCTTTGCTGAATAATAAACTTGTAGAATCTGATTGTGGAGTTTGTTTGTTCACTTTATTGCTTAAAACTTGTTGAGCTTGGTTAATGTTTACGATGTTTTATGCAGTCTGTGGCAACCTTTTTCAGCCATGTTATGTCTGCAATAGAAGGAAACACTGCCGGTCCAGGTACATCAATATTTTATTGCATATTTCATGTATGACTAGAGTTCATGCTTTTCAATTGTGTAGATACTTACAGTCTTTTGTGATGTTCAGGAGATGCTGTTGTCAATGTTTATATAAACCATGAGAAGAAGTTCGCTTTTGTGGAGATGAGATCAGTTGAGGAAGCCAGTAATGCCATGGCCTTGGATGGCATTATTTTTGAGGTACTTCAATGTTTTCCCGACTCAATTAAGCCGGAAAGGGACCATAAATTTTAGAAATTTACCTATGAATTTATATTTTTTATACAAATTTCACGTGTCTTCTGCAATTTTTTTAGAACTTTGCATATCATGTGTTTGCATGTTCTTCATTTGCTACTTGTATTAACCTCTGTGTCTTAAATATTTTAATGTTCAGGGAGCACCAGTTAAAGTGAGGAGACCTAGTGATTACAACCCCTCACTGGCTGCTACACTAGGGCCGAGCCAACCCAATCCAAATCTGAACCTTGGTGCTGTTGGGCTAACACCAGGGTCTGCCGGTGGGCTTGAGGGTCCTGACCGCATTTTTGTGGGTGGGCTCCCCTATTATTTTACAGAAGCACAGATCAGGGAGTTGCTTGAGTCTTTTGGGCCGCTTCGGGGTTTTGATCTTGTGAAGGACAGAGAAACTGGAAACTCAAAAGGCTATGCATTCTGTGTTTACCAGGATCTATCAGTTACAGATATTGCTTGTGCTGCTCTAAATGGAATTAAAATGGGTGATAAAACTCTTACCGTTAGGCGTGCTAACCAGGGTACTACCCAACCTAAACCTGAGCAAGAGAATGTGTTGTTGCATGCACAACAACAAATAGCATTGCAGGTGAACTTCATTTTGTTCTAGTTTGGATCAAGTGGTTTGGTGAGAAATTATATGAAATGAAGATAGAGAACTCTTTGTCATGTTTGGTTTATAAGTAAGGTGAGCAATGATGAGAAATGGGGAGAAAGATAACTCTCTTATTTTATAGGTTATTTCTCCCCCAAAGTGGTGAGATTTGGTGAGAAGCAAGGTTTTATTGGTTGTGTTTTTTTAAAACTCCGAGAGTGCCCTATATCACATATTTTGCTTTCTTACTCATCCAAATATAATAGTTAGAAAAATAATAATTTCTTTTCTTTTCTCACCCCACGATCCAAGCGGAGTCTAACACCAAGTTTTTTATAAGTTGTTTTTGTGCTATTTATCTGTTGACTTGATAAAGGTTCATTTCTGAGTTATATTTTTCTTTTTCAGAGGCTCATGTTACAACCTCCTCCTGCTGCATTGGCCACCAAGGTTTTATGCTTAACCCAAGTGATCAGTGTGGATGAGCTCAAAGATGACGAAGACTATGAAGACATACTGGAAGATATGAAAACCGAGTGCGGAAAATTTGGTAAATGCTGGGAGTAACTCTTGGCTCTTTTATTAAATTATTTACTCTCTCTTTTACCCTCCAATCTTCTTGCACACAAATTGATTTGCTTTGTGTTCTATCTTTCTGTTTTACAGCCTATTGTAGTCCCACATTCTGCTATACAGAATCAGGCCCTAACATAAAGACAGAAGACTCCATAAACCTTCTATTTATATTCATTCACCTGAGACTGTTTTCTTGTCTATTCTGATAAGTTGGATTTCAATTTTTATTGGCATTTTCAGGTACCTTGGTGAATGTTGTCATCCCACGCCCGAATCCCAATGGTGAACCAACTCCAGGGCTTGGCAAGGTTAGTATGCTCGACTCCCTTGTTAAATGTTTCACCAAGCAAGGTAAAAGCATTTTTGTTACATGTATTTATTTTGAAGTCCGGTTGCTAATGAAACTTGTCTTGGGTCTTTTAGGTGTTCTTGGAATATGTAGATGTTGATAGTGCCACAAAAGCTCGACAAGGGTTGAACGGGAGAAAATTTGGTGGGAATCAAGTTGTGGCAGTATTCTATCCGGAGAACAAATTCTCTCAGGGGGAGTACGAGCATGGGCAGAGCTATGCATAACGTAGTGGGTTCAATTGAACCAATTGAACTTTGAATATATATATTTTTTAATTTAGAATTATGAAGTGTTATATAAAATTTAGGAAAAATTACCTGCATGTCTTTTCTGGAAATTGTGTACTCTATTTAGTCCCACGGAAACCCCAAAGTCCTCCATTCTTCTCTTTCTCTTTTTCTTTTTGATGTACACTCACCTGCGATTGGCGATCACCATCGATTGAGATTCATTGGCAACACCGACTACCGATTCCTTGCTTTATCCTTACTCACGGCAAAAGAGATGAGTTTTTGGCGATGCTTTTGGCATAGATCTATTCGTATCTGGCCAAGATCATAAGACAACTCATTGGAATGTTTGAATTTAGAGTAGATCTCTATCTGGTTTAATCATATTTAAATAAAAAATGGTTGTTAGAGTAATAATGGTAGTTAGAGTACAATCCTATTTATGCCTGTCTCTCTCCAACTTAAGTTTTTTTTTGTTTTCTTTGTTACATTTTTTGTTTTTAATGGGGAAAATTTTGAAGTTTTGAACAAATTTTTTTTTCATTTATAGGCGGTGAAAATTGTAAAATTTTACATTTTTGAAGATATGTTTTTATTTTTTCTATGAGTTTTTATTTTTTCTATGACTTTAGCATTTTTTTTTCTTTTTATTAAAATAACAAATATATATATATATTGATAAATTGAAAAGTTGCAAATCCTTAAAATTGTTGATTTGAGATCTCCATCATCCTTGTGACATGAAATTGTGTTTTGATGAATTGCAAATGAACAAATTGATAATTTTTGCTAGTAATTGATAATTTTTAGAGTTTTAAAGCTATAAATTTATATAATGTGATGAGCAATAAATTAAAACTTTAAATTTTTAAATTTTTTTGAACTGAAAATTATGTACTTTGTATGATAAAAAAGTTTGTTTGTTTGTTTGTTTGTTTTTTTTTTGTTTTTTGTTTTTTGTTTTTTCATGTTTTGAGGTGTTAGAGAGTTAAATCTTGCTATGTTTTCGTTTTAATTTCTCTCTTTCTTCTTTCATTGTTTTTATTTTTTTGGTGATGTTTTAGAAATTCTGATGAGTTTTCGGCGATATTCTGAACATCTAGTAATATTTTAAACATTCCGGTGACTTTTGGTGACGTTCAGAACATTTTGACGATAATTCGACGAATTTTCAGCGATATTGAACATTTTTTCGATGATTGTTAGACAGAAGTTTGGCACTGGTGAGATGTGGTAAAGTCCTTAAATTAAAATATATTATATATATAATAAAATTGTTTAAAAAAAAATAGGTTAGTGCTCCAATTTTTTTTTAAGGTTTTCATAAATTGACACCATTAACATTGTTAAAAAAAATAGATTTATCAACAACCAAAAAAAATTTAATTTTAAAAATAATTAATTCTATAATTATCATATTTTGTACCATTTTTTTATTTAATACAAATAACTATTAATAATTGAATATGAGTGAAACTTAAATTGATATTGCCATTAAAAAAAACTATTATATATGTCACACATTAGATCCGTAATTTTAAATTGTTAAAGTTATAGATTTGTATTTGAAATTTGTCCTCATAATTGTTGAAGTTAATATAATTTTTTTTTTTATATTTAAAAATTTTATCATAATTTTTTAAACTCATTAATACACTAAGGACGTGTTTGATTGGGGGGATTGGGGGGGGATATCCACTATTTGGATTGCAATCCAAATAGTGTTCCTTATCCGCCGTTTGATTTTTTTTAGTCCGCCGGACATGGAGTCCGGCCGGATTTCAATGTCCCATATGGGGGACTATCCTGTCCTGGGGGGTGGGACAGAAAGTGGGGGACTAATCACTGTTTGGATTATATGCGAAAATGACCATTTTGACCCTCTACTATTTAATTATGTATTATATTTAATAAAATTTAAATGTCTCAATTTAAAAATAAAATAATTTTATTTAACTTTTTATTAATGTTTTATTTATTTAATTTTTTAAAATAATTTTTTATAGATATTTTATTGATGTTTTATTTTAAAATTTTGTTTATGTTTTATTTAATTTCATTGTTTAAATTTAATAGATGTTTTAATAGATGTTTTATTTAAACAATTAAATGTTTAATTTCAACAATAAATAATTTCATTTATTTAAATTATGTTTTATTTAAACATTTAAACATTTGTACATCAACATGTTTATTAAATTATTTCAACATCTGTACATCAACATGTATATTTATTTAACATCTATTAAATTATGTTTTAATACGTCAACATTTGATTACATTTACATTTGTTAATTGTTAATTACATCAACATTTGTTAATTGTTTAAACATAATCTATACATCAACATTTATTTAATTGTTAATTGTTAATTGTTTAAACATAATTTGTACATCAAAATAATTTCAATGTTAATTGTTTAAATAAAAATTTAAACATTTAACCATTAGTATGTTTAATTTCAACAATAAATTTTTATTTGTTTAAATAAAAATAATCTATACCAGTCAAATTTTTTTATCAATATTAGTATGTTTAAATATCTTTAAACAAAATTTAACCATTAGTATGTTTAATGTTTACTAAAAATAATTAAAATATTAAAGATATGTTTAATATTGCTATAACTTAGTAAACAATTGAAAAGGGTAAAATAGTCTTTTGTTCATTTATCCTATCCAGTCCGTCCAACCAAACGTTGGATTCACTGAAAATAGTCCTATCCAAACATCTAATCCCATGAAAAAACAAACAGAGGATACATATCCAATCCGACCAAATAGTCCGGGGGATTCACAGTCCCAAGACTCAAGTCCGATGAATTCTAATCCTCCATTTTCCAGTCAGTCCAATCAAACACACCCTAAATACAATAAATGTTACAAATAGGTGTGAGTGGGAGCTCTAAAGGAGCTGCTTGGTGTAAATATATGGTGAGTGCAGTCTTATCATATATATATATAAAATTAGTGTTTTCGTTTAATTTTTTCTCTCTCTCATATGGCGCATCTCAATTTTCTTCATTTTTTTTAGAGTTCCATTTAATATACACTTATACTAATTATTTCTAAAATATAATATTTAAAATACTTCTAATTAATCTAAACTACCATAAATAAAAGTTAATAGAGATATTTTTGCAAAAAAATACTTTACGAAATTAATTTTCTTCTATTTTTTTCCACTTTTATTCGAGTATTCAAATTTTATATTAAAATTAAATATATTTCTTATTTTTTTTGTCTAAATTATTCATATATTATTATTAATTTATATTGAATTTTGTATTTAACATGGAATTGTTTATTAGGAAAGATTTATATTTAATTTAAATTTTATATAACTATATATATAATCATATATAACTAGTAGTTGACTCGTAGTTTTTTTTAAACAATTTTTTTATAAAATTAAGTCAAATTATTTATACATATCTATATATCAATTATTTTTAGAAATATTTTACAATCTATGCATTACAAAAAAATAATATTAATTTTATCATAATATAAAATATAACATTAATAAATATATAATAATTTAGTTGAATTATTTATGTAAATATCTATGTGTAAATAAAACTATTTAAAAAAATATATCATTCAGTTAAATTATGAAAGTGTATTTTAAATATGTGTATATACTATAATAAAATAAAATATTAATTTTAATATTAAAAATAGTGAATAAATTAGAAAACAAAAAGTCATTTAAAATTAAAGAATGATTTTAATTATTTATTTTGAAAATTTTGACCATATCGTTCTATAAAAGTATTACTTAAATATATATTATAATTGTCACGACCCACTCCTCGTACCCAAGGATTAAGTATCGTGATGGCCAGTAACTGAGGTTACCTACAGCCAATTCTTAAACAAATCAAATAATGCGAGCCGAAGTAATATTTAAATAAGGGTATCAAAATAATCATCGGAGTTTCTATTTTTATTACAAAATATATTGACTAAAAAGGCCGATATTTACATAGAAAATATCATAAAAGTGTTGTGTGTCTATTCCGCAGCCCCGCATCTAAGATTTTCCAAAAGCTATTTCTGAATTGCACTGTTTCCTGAAAATTGGTAAACAACTATAAGCACATGGCAGAGTGAGAAATATTATACCAAGAGTATAAGGGACACGAAATAACCATGGATAGTTAATTAGGCCAAAATATTTAAGATAATTTAGTCGGAACAAATAATCCGTTAAGTAGCAAAACTGAGATTATGTAAATAAATTATTGGTAAACAAATCATTTACGTGGCAGAAAACTGAAATACATAAATTATGTAAATATATAACCATAACCACGATACAAGACAGAACAGAGATCACTGAAGTGATAGTCAGAACAGAGGTACGGATTCAAGAGGTGGCTCGTATGGATTCTAGAGGTGGCTCCCACAATAGTGTAGCACTTAGCTCCGCACAGCACTTTAGTTTGCACAGAACAGAAGTACGGATTCAAGAGGTGGCTCCCACAATAGTGTAGCACTTAGCTCCGCATAGCACTTTGGTCCGCACAGAACAGAGGTACGGATTCAAGAAGTGGCTCGTACGGATTCTAGAGGTAGCTCCAACAATAGTGTAGCACTTAGTTCCGCACAGCACTTTGCTCCGCACAAAACAGAGGTCAATGGATCCATGACAGACAGAGGGTCACCAAGTAACCAAACAGAAGCCAATAGTTATTTAAGTCCCCCAAGGTGTGGGACTCCTGTGGTGGTATTTACAAAACATAACTGTATATAAGGTCATAATCAAATATTTTTAAAAGAAAAACAAATATATCCATGGGTTTCCTTTTCACAAATAGGGTTCAGAAAATAATTCACGTAACTGAAACCTTTATAAAACATAACTTTTATTAATATACTTATAAAACATAACTTGTGTAAAATAGATTTTGGTAAGTCAAAATATATGTAAAATATATTTTAGTAACTCTAAGTATAATATAACTCACCTTAATTTTAATATCTTATTATTTATTTTCACTATCAAAAACCTTTTCAGCTTCCACTATTTTTTTCCTTCTTTCTATCTTTCTTTTCTTTCTTTCGTTTCTTTTTTTCCTTCCAGCCGAATCACCTCCCTATTTATGGGGAGGTGAACCCAGTCTTCGGCCAACACGTGCCGATTCCCAAATCAATCGACAGATTCAATTATAATTACAATAAAAGTTGAGACCCCTTTGGGGGAAGTAAGGATCCTCTAAAGTG